GTATAGATTAATGGGTGTTCATCGGAATTTTTGAAATTTCTACAGTAATCTGATGGAGCCTGGATTACTGTAGTGCATGATTACTGTAGTGTTGATTTTGTCCACTTCTCAAATTTCTACTCTGAATACGGTATTCTGGAGACACAAGGAAAAATCTTCTGGAAAATTCTATTCACCCGATTTTTATTGTTCCACTCGAGACCTTATGAATATTGTTATCACAGGGTACTGTAGCTTCTAACAATCTTCATCAATTTTGTTTCTTATCAATAGAGCCCAGATCACCTTCGATAGAAAATCCTGAACTTCTACAGTATCCCTGCTCCGTTTCCTTTGCTCTTTTCTCAAAATGATTTATTCTGAATGGCGGCAAAAAGTACAATTGTTTCCCGTCCTCCTCGTTTTCTTATTCTCAATCTACTAAAAGTAATTACACAATCAATTAAATGTAACATAAGAAAAGTGGAAAGTATGTGTGTGGCTCAGAAAGGGAAAAGTAATCCGTTGTCACTTTTAGCCCCTTTCTCACTTACACACATAACACACACACACACACACACATTCTCCCCGCCCCCAAATTTTTTCTCTTCACTACTCTCTCCATTTTTTTGCCGCCAGCTTCCGAAGAAGCTGAGCTCTCTAGCAACAGAATAAAAAATTATTAAAAAATTATATTCCATTCTCTATTGTTTGATGTTTGCTTGCTGACATCGCGTACATCCTCACTGATTCTCGAAAATTCCGTTGAAAAACGTTGGAGCGTGGCGGAGGAAAATGCTCGGTTGTGGTGCCTGCTGAAATGCACGCCGGACAAGCATCTTGGCACCGGTTCGCTGCACGCTTAGGCAAATATAAGGTAGGAAGTCTTAAGGTTGTTTTTCTATTCTTTATTCAAAAATTCCCTTTCTTCCTCTTGTTTTTTCACGCTCTATCGAAAGATTTTTTAGATTAATAATAAAATTTTTCGACTTGCACTTGAAGAAAAAAAAAGAAAATAAAGAAAAAGTAATGTTTCCCCTAGTTACCAAGTTTTTTATTCTATTTCATTTTTTTTCGAGAAAGCCGAATATAAATCACATCAGACCGGGGGTTGATGAAAACTTTTTCTTTCGAGGGGTAAAATTCTGTTTGGGAAACTTGCTATTTCGAGAACAAGAGCATTTTGAAAAAGTTCATTCTTGAAATTTCGAAAAAAATTTAATTTGTTCCTTGAACACTTCCTGATTGAATTAGACTTTAGATAACTAGAATTTTTTTCTGATTTTTGGAAAAGATGAACTTTCATAGTTTGGAACTTGGAATCTGAAGTTCTCAAATGTTATCCTGTGAATGTCTTTTGAAAAAAATTTTATAGAATTTCTGATTTTGGGATTGGGAGCCAGAAAAATTAAAGCGCGAACATAAAAATTGAAATTCTGAAATCATTAAAGCTAGACTTCTAATGAAAATGTTTCAAAAAATGGTTCAGAATAGATTTAAAAGTAATAAAACTTCATCTGAAATTTACAAGTAGTTTTCTCTTCTGATGAAACTGTTATGTCTAGAAGTTCAGGGTTGAAAAATCTTGAACTTCTAAAAAATCTCAGAACTCTGAAATTACTTTTTTCTAAATCTCATCTAAAATTTTCTCAGCTCTGATATAAATTAATTCCCACAATATATAACTTTCACCTGTTTTTCATCGAAAAAACTTATTTGTTTTCTCCAAAAAAAATTGTGTCCAATTTTTCACTGCCTTCCAAATCCATCATCATTTGTCAGCAGCAACTTTTTCACTTTTTACCCATCAAAATTCACATTTTCAGTTAGATTAAAAAAAATATGTAAATAGTTCGAGAAGAAAAAAGTTCCATTCCACTTTTCTTCTTCTTCTTCGTTTTTTTTTTGATGATGTGACGTCGTTTGATGGACATTTTGACGACGAAGAAGAAGAAGAGGTGAAAAAAAGGGGAAAAAATCAAACGCGTGCGCGAAAAAAAAAGTTTTCTTCCGATTGAGTTGACAGATTATGCGGTACTAACATAACATAAACTTGACAAATAAAGTGGTGCTCCTTTCGTTTTTCGGAATTTTAGTTTTTAGTTGTTTGGCGGGGAAGATGAGTGAAATAGATGATAATCCAAGAAAGATGATCGTCTTACAGGTTTCTATACAAATTTTTGTTGATTGTTTTTTGTGGGGGAAGTGGCTAGAGATAAATGAGATGAAGATTATCCTAGATGCATTTTTTTTGTTTGGGTGGTCAAGAATAATAGGAAGGGGGTTGAATTTTGAAAAAAAAATTGAAAAAAAAATTCGGGAAGCCCTAATTTTGTCTGCAAAAGTTCTGATCTGATCAAACAATATTCTGCAAACAGGAAAACCCTGAACCCTGAACCTTCTCTTCTGGCTAATGGCTCATTTTTCCAAATTTCGAAAATTGTCACAACATCTACAGTAACCGTATTATTCTTCTGATCTCCTTGATTTCTGAAATTTCAGATAGTTAAAAATAAATCCACGAACTTTTCGTAATCTAATCCAACCAAGTCTAAAAATGTCCTTTCTTCATGCCGTGTACATATATGTACATATGTTTTTTCTTGTCGTTTCTATTCTTCCTTGTCATTTTTCAATATAGAGCAAGAGCACCTCAATTATTTATCCGATTTTCTGTTCTTTTCATGTCTAACACAAAAGAATGCGCAAAGGAAAAAAACGGATTTTGCTTTCGGCACAGCGCGCGAAACGAAAAAAAAAATGAAATCTTGTTGCCGTTTTTGTGCAGTTACTCTTTTTGACTTTGAACACAACAAAAAAAAACATGGGTTTTGGTTTGACAAGAGAGGAAAAATAACAAATAGGACCACCTCAATTATGATGACTATATGAACACATATTTTTGGTTTTATTATTATTTTTTTCATTTTTTCGAGAATTTGGGGACCAAAGAGGCGTCAAATGCAATGAAATAAATAAAATGGAATAAATATCAAATTTCAAGGAAAATTTTCTTAAAGTGAAATAAAATGTATGTTTAAAACCAAGAAACCAAGAAAAAGGGACTAAAATGAGAGGAACTCTAGATTTTTTGTTTGGAAAAAAGGTCTCAAATTTTGGGGCGGATTTGTTAATTAGTTCGATTTCGACTTTTGCATTTTCAATTTGTTTGTTCCTGATTCCTACTATTTTTGGCTCACTCCCGTTTTTGACATGTAGGTTTTGGTGCATTTTCAATTCATTTCGCTTTCTTTTTCTTATTTTTCTTGAATCATGTCTGAAAAAACAACATAGATTTAGTTTAGTGTTGCTGAAGTTTAGTAGTTTCAATAACGAACCATCTAGAATGTTCAGGAAATTTGAGACGTTTTTTTTGGAATTTTTAAGCAGAATCGTACTTTTTTGAGGAATTTCGTAATTTTTCTGTTCTACATCTAGAAAAACGCTATAAATTTTACTTTTTTCATGATAAAATAGATCTTTCTGAAGATTTATCTGAAACTTTTTGTTGGAAAAAAGTGTTTTATTTGGAAAAGTTTCATTTCTTTTTGGACTTGAGTTTTAGTTCTGGTTTTTAGTTTGAAACATTTTAGGATTTTTAGTTTTTTTCATGAAAATTCCATTTCTGAAATGTTGTAGATCAGAATTTTCTCAAAAATCTTTCTAGTGCTCTCTCAAAAAAAGACAAAAAGGATTACCAAAGTGTTCTTCTGAATTCCTGAAACTATTTCGAAGTCCAGAATTCAAACTACATACAATTAAAATTTCCCCAAATTGTTCCCAATTTTCCATAAACTTTGCCACATTTCCAAATAAAATGCAAACTTTTTTATATCATCCAACATTAATGTGAAAAAGCATAAACAATTAAATGAGTGAAGTGCAATTAACTTTCTGCTCCTATTTTTGCTCCTTTCCACCTATTTTTCAACCTAACCAAAATAAAACATTCGATGAAAAGGGGTCAAATTTGAAATGCAAACAACGTTTTCATTTTTTTTCTTCAAGGTTTTTCTATGACTAGTATTATTATTTTCCGAATTGTTGCTGAAAACAGTAAGCTGGAAATAATTTGTTGTTTTTTATTTTTTAATTTTCCTTGACAAGAACTCATCTTCTTGTTGTTCGCAACAATTTTATTTTGGTTCAGATGTTCAATCAACTGAACTCGCTCAAAGAATACTAGGGGTCGAAAAAAGACCTATGTAGAAGTAGTCGAGAAACAAATAGGGACCACCTTTGTCGTTAATCATATTTGGATTTTCTGATGATAAAAAGTTTCGAAAAAGACGAGAGAAGTGCATTAAACAAAATTGAATCAATCAAGTTGGATGGACGACCAAAAAAAGGAAGAAAAGAAAGAGTCCTTTTTGTTCATCTCATTTCATTTCAAAGATAGTCATCAGGTTTCGCTTGTTCTGAGAGCTCAGATTTTTTTTGGGAAATTTTTTTGTTTGTCATTGAGATGAGATTTAGGAGTTAATTTTGAAATTAAAATCGCATTTTTTGTTCAAATTTTTTAAAAAATTTGCAATGCATCTCTTAATTAGAGATTCTCTAATGTAGTTTAGAATAACTTTCATTCAAAAATCAGAAATTTCAAAAGTAGTGGATCATAAAAATTGTTTTCTGAATTCAAATATAAAATATTCGAAACCCAACAAATTATTCTGTAAAAATATTTTTTTACAAAAAAATTTCGATTCAGAAAATGTCGAAAAACTATATTTTTTTTAGTTATTTGACATTTTGTGAATCGACAATTTTTGTAAAAAAAAGTTTTTTCATTAATTTTTCGACTTGATTCAACCCAATAATTTCCTGTTCAAAAGTATGATCAAAATCTTTGAACCTCAAATTTCAGCTGAATCTGTAAACATTTTCCATCAATCATTTTTTTCAAACCTTCTTTGCATGTACATTTTTTTCAACTTCTTCTCCTCAAATTTCTCTTCACTTCACGAAAAACGTGTTTTCTAACTAAACATAAACCTCGTAAAAATCACAGTGTGGTGTCAAAACTGTCATTCGAGCCAAAAACAGCGGGTCGCCGTCTTCGTTTTGTCGATAGTTCGGCGAGTAACAGCGAAACCGCCAGCACATGTACAGCCGCCTCGTGTCCACCACCAACATCTTCACTTCCACCATCGCAACAATTCGACAATGCTCCTCATTTTCAACGTTCAGACGAATGTATGCTCGGCTCGTCCAGCAATCCTGAGCCGCCACTCCTATCGCGGATAATCGGAGTACCGCCACCGCCACCACCGCGTGCACCAACAACCGCTCTTGTTCTACGCATCCCGCCAAGTCCGGCACGCAAAAAACCGCCACCGGTTGACACAAGAAACAAATATCAAGAAACTGCACTCAAAGATAAAAAACCTGTAAATCTTCTTCTTCTTTTTTTCCCACATTTTCCAAACATAATATGAGCAATCCATTAAAAATCAGGAAACAAACATTTTAACCCCCACCCCTCTTCTATATATGAGGGCTATAATTAACTCATTAAAAATTCGTTGATTTTTGCAGCGGACACCACTTGAAAAGGCTCGACATCTTGACAATCTACCGTCCTATCAGGTTAGTTTTTTTGATTCAACTTTTTTTGGAAAATTTGATTATGAGAAAATTAATTGGAAAAATTGACACTAATATAAAAAAATTCAATTTTTGGAGTTGGGAAATTTGATTTGCCAGGTGTTATAAATTGTGATTACGGGGAGATTTGAGGTTTTTTTTTAGATTTTTGTTGTGTTTTTGAGGGGTTGAGATTTTTCTGAAAGAATAAATTAAAAAAAAATATTTTCAGCCTCCCTGACACCTGAAAAAGTCTAGTTTGATTTTGAAATTTCAAAGATCACATTTTGATTTCAGTTTTCATGACTTAGGTATTTCAATAATTATTTCATCATTATGAAAAAATATTTGTAAAAATGTGAAAATAATTTTAAAAATTCAGAGTTTCTTTTTTTCCGAAAATCAATGTTCAATGTTTGAAACCTTAGCCCTGGATGTGAGAAAATGTCAAACCTAGGCTTAAAGTTTTCTCCTCTTCAGTGTTTTTTTTTGCAGAAAAAATGTGTAATTCTGGAAAGTAATTCTGAAAATCGGAATTTTTGGAACTTTTATTTTCAAATTTTGATTTGATGATTAATTTTCTAACCTAGTAATTCAAATAACAGTTGCTCATAGGTCATCTGAAAATGTATGTAGTTCAATTCTGAATTTTTTCGAAAACTCAGAAATTTTCAAATAAACTTTGGATAACTTCAGAAGTCTAAACCCTGAAGAAAAAGTTTCTCTTCAAATTTTTCTAGAAATTGAACAAAATTATTTTTATCATGTTTTTCTGGTACCAAAAAGCCTTTTTCAAAAACCCATACAATTTTTGATGTATGTATCTCATTTTATCCAAAAGGAAAAATTCTAGAGTAGTTGTTTTTCTGGTGATATTATAGTTATAGTTATTATTATTTACAAACATCTAGCGTATTCTCGAATAACTAACATCTGCTAATAAATGACAAGTTGTCGTATGTTCGCATCCTTCCAATCTATCTTGTTTTATTTCACTTATTTTTTTTTCATTTCATGTGTGTGTTCCTGAAATGTTGGAGCACATGTATCATCATTTTCTTCTTCTTCTTCTTCTTGTTCAAAGAAAAAAGAAACCGCAGAAAAAAGAAATACATCATCCGTATAATATTCGATAAGGCATGCGACACTTTTTTTTTTCAATTTCTATCCATATTATCTACCCAAATTGAAAACCATTATTTGGGGTTGGGGTGGTCCTTGCGCGGAGGACCAACAACATTTGTGTACGGCTGGATAATCTATTTTGGACATATATATGTATACATTTATATGAATGTATATTATATTTTGATTCAATTAAATGATTTTGCTGCGCACCGCCCGACGTTTTTCTCGTCACACGAGGCCAACATTTTTTCGAGACACCACTTGTGATCACTGTTTCATAAATATGGTGGTAATATTTTTTAGTTTGTTGAGAAATTTTCAAAATTTCTTAAAAATTTTCAAGGAACATTAGATGTTCTGGACCTTGTTGGAGATAGTCAAATTTTTTTTCAAACTGAAATTTTATTCTGAATATGTTTGGCATCAACAGTTTTTTTTAGAAAAAAAAATCAGAAATACCTGATTATTCCTGAACCGAGATATCCAGATTTTCAAAATTATTTCAGAATTTCTGTAATTTCGCAACTGAAATTTATTGTTCAAAATTTCATTCCAAACCGAATCAGTAAATTATTTGTACTTTTCCCAATGATAATTATGAAATTTTGATTTTTATGATTAATTTTTGGCTGATTTCTTTCTGGATTACTATAATTTAAATCCAACTTGAAAATTTGAAAACAGTATTTCTAGATTTCTTGAAAATTTTAAATAAAAAAAAAAACAAAAACTCAAGTGACTCATTTCCCAAAAAAAAATTCGTTATTTTTCGGTCGTTTTTCTCAAAGTCGTTGTGCAGTCTTGAATCAGCTTATCCCCTCCTCCCATTTTCCCGTCCAAAAGCATGCACTTTTCTCAAAAAGATTATGCTTTTTGTTTTCACTTTATGTTATGTTATGACTTTGTTTCCCAACAACAACAACATTTTGGCGCAACAACAACAAGTAAAAAGTTCCTGAAAAGTATCTTGCTCCTCTATCGAGCTGCCCATAATTTTATTTGGTTGATCACCTAGAACCCCTTTTCCTCCCCTTCTTTTTTTGGAGAAGGGCGAAAGGAAAAAAGAGGCCTTCAGGGCACTAGACTACTTTTTTCTTCCCGTTTTTTCCTGACAACTCACTTTTGTTTCTTTTTTTCACACTTGTACTCATGTCATCTCAAATCTAACTGATATTTTTCATTGATCTAAAGAAGATTCCACCAATTATGTGATCTGTTTTGGGGATTTGTTGCACCAATGTATCATTCAAAACAAGCCAATACAAAATATATAAAAAAGGTAAATTGAATTATAAACTGGTGGTTGGGCTTGAATAATTAATTGAATTCTGGGCGAGAGAAAAAAAAAATGAGATTTTTCTCAAAGATATGGTAAGTATAAATAAATTGAATTTATTTAGTGTCAATTTTTCCAGTTTTTCTCATTTATTTACGCGGTTTTCTCTTTTTTTAAGCAAAAAAAAGGGCAAAAATTATTTTCAGATTCCTTTTTTCGCCCTCTAACCCTTTTTTTGTAGGCTCAAAAACTATTAGACGGATCGCATCAACTTCGAATCGATTCGCATCACGTGGGAGCCGCTGGACACGGAGCCGGTTCTGGTCACGGACACAAAAAAGAGTTTGGTCCAGCCATGATATTGTATTATTTGGCGTCGGCGTTTCGTGCGCTTTATCCGCGTCTAGATGATGATTTTGTCGATAAATTAAACTATTATTATACTACCACAATTTGTGAGTTTTTATTTTTGGAAATACATGGTGACATAAAAAACTGTTTGTTTCATTTTTTTGGTCACCCTGTATATGTAGATTTCCGTTTAATTTCAGTGCCGAAAATACGGAAAGGTTCAGAAACCAGCATTTTGTCGGAAGCAATTGAAAATGTGGTCTTTGTTTTCTAACAGATTTTTCTGTGAAATTTATGAATTTTGAAAATGTCAGGCAAGAAAGAATTTTACCTCCAACAAGAAAAAATCATAAGATTTCAAAATAAAAAAAATCACAAAAGCCTTGCCTGAAACTCAAAAGTTCAAAATCAGCTTGGTCGACTTCGTTTCATCAATATTGAAATTTCAAATTATGCTCTTAATATGAGCAATCCCACCAAAGAATCCAGATTTTCTAAAAGTATTCCTAAAAATCTCAAGTTTCCAAATGTTCAAAATATGAAAATTTCAAATTTTGATTGAAATCAACTTTTTCCACAGTCTCCCCTGCTTCCCTCAAACACAGAAGTTAGCCTATTCTCGAACATCTTGAGAAACGTCTTTATCGGATATTGTGTGCAAGTGAGAAAAAAGCGGGGAAATTGAATTTTGGACAAAAGTAGTTCAGCGAGAAGAAAATAAATAAATTGAGTAACACATCCGTGACATTTTTTCTCATTCACTGAAGAAAAAATTCGAGCATTTTTCACAGTATGCATTTTTTTGGTATCAGGAAAACAATTTTTAAATTGAAAATCGTTTCGTGAGCAAAAAATAAGTTATGCTCTTTTGAAAGAGCATCTTCTAATTGGTTGAATCCTCAAAGATTTTTTTTTCTGGAAGCTTCTCAAACAAATTTAAAAGAATAGTTTAACAAAATAGTTTAACAAATTTCAGATAAAAATGAGTTTCATACCCAATTTAGTGCTGAAATTTAAAATTTAAAATTTCAAACAAATTTTCTGGATTTTCTGGTTTCATCTTTCCGGCACAGGTCAATTTTTTAAATGTCAGAGATCTACAAAATTCAATTATTTCATTACAGTAGCATCATTTGCTCTTCTGGTATCAGCAAAACAATATGTCGGTTTTCCGATTCAATGCTGGGTTCCGGCCACATTTACCGATGCCATGGAACAATATACCGAAAACTATTGTTGGGTCCAAAACACGTATTGGGTTCCAATGCAAGAGGATATACCTCGCGAGATTTATTCACGTCGAAATCGTCAAATCGGCTATTATCAATGGGTTCCATTCATTTTGGCGATCGAAGCGTTGTTGTTCTATGTGCCATGCATTTTGTGGCGCGGATTGTTGTATTGGCATAGTGGAATCAATCTGCAGGGTTTGGTGCAGATGGCGTGCGATGCGCGTTTGATGGATTCGGAAGTGAAGACGAGAACTGTTTATACGATGGCGAGACATATGCAAGATGAGGTTCAGGTGATTACTAACACAAACAATTCATGTGATTGGAGGGAGAGCGAGAGAGTGGAGAGAGTGGAGAGAGAGAGAGAGAGGGGGAGATCCCTCCAATCACACACTATTCTAACAACCTTATTTACCCTGTGAGTGTTGTGAACTTCAGTCTAGATGTTTAAGAATATTTTTCAAGGAATATCAAAAAGCTGTCAATTTTTTTGTGCCAGCTAATTTTTGTTTACAAATTCTTGGACAACCTTCAAAAAAAAGTTTCAAAACTCAACATAGCAGTTCATCAAGGAAATTGTCCGCAATCTCTCGAAGTCCTCATTTTTCCCACTTCTTACCAACACCTTCTAAACCCTAACTATCCTCCCCAATTTTCCAGTTAACAAACGTGGATCGCAACGCGCACAGTAGGAGTTGTTTTTCAAATTTGCAAATGGGCGCAAATTGTGGCCGTCACTGTGGATGTTACGTGACAATGCTATATATTGGCATCAAAGTGTTATATTCGGCCAATGTGCTTCTTCAATTCTTTTTGCTCAATCATTTATTGGGTTCGAATGATTTAGCATATGGTTTTTCATTGCTAAAAGATTTAATGCACGAAATCGAGTGGGAACAGACGGGAATGTTCCCAAGAGTTACACTTTGCGATTTTGAAGTGAGAGTTTTGGGAAACATTCATCGACATACTGTGCAATGTGTTCTAATGATCAATATGTTCAATGAAAAGATTTTCCTCTTCTTATGGTGAGTTAGAAGAAGTCTGAATTTTTTTCATTAAAATGTGAATTTTTTGTTTTTTAGGTTCTGGTTCCTGACATGTGGCATCATAACAGTGGCCAATACAATGTACTGGATTTTGATCATGTTCATCCCAAGTCAGGGAATGTCATTCGTCCGCAAGTATTTGAGAGTTTTACCAGATCATCCAGCAAAACCTATTGCGGATGATGTGACACTTCGAAAGTTCACTAACAATTTCTTAAGAAAAGATGGTGAGTTGGAAGAATTCCCCGAAAGTGGTTGATAATTTACAGATTTAAAAAAATCTATTCTGAAGTTGGAGAAAGTTTAGTTACGTCAACTCTCTTCAGACAAACTTCAGAAGCATCTTTTGAAATATTTTTCATTTTTTTCCGAAGAAATTTATCGTTGCGAAACTTTTTGACATTTAAAATTAATTTTAAAAATTCAAGACCACTTTCAAAAAACTCAATTTTTCCAGGAGTATTTATGCTTCGTATGATCTCAACACATGCCGGTGAATTAATGAGTAGCGAGCTTATCCTTGCACTTTGGCAAGATTTCAACAACGTCGATCGAAGTCCAACACAATTTTGGGACGCTGAACATGGTCAAGGAACACTGGATTAATCCAATCTGATCTTATTTGAAATTTAAGAAATATCCAGAATTCTATATATATTTTTTAATTTTTGTTGTTTGCTTCAACACACCGGTGAACTTTCCTTCCTCTCCCCCCATCTTTCCTGCTTTCGATTTGTATCATTTTACTAAAAAAAAAATTTTAAAATTTTATTCAAATTATTCCCCCGATCTGAAAAATCTCATTGCATAACACGCATCATTTTGTGATCATAATCTGTTGTGTTATACGTGTTTTTTGCCCCGTTTTGCCCATTTTCCATGTTTGCAGAGATATTATTACCTCTATTTTTTCATTGCTGCTTTTTTCCAGAGATTTTTTATTTTATTTTTTTTTTCGAGAATTTTATATATGTTAATTAAATTTTATCGGTGTCATACCTTGTATGTTCCCTTTGTCTTTTTATTTTGATTTGCTTTTTTTTCTGAAGAATGTGAGAAATTTTATGATGATTACTTCTTCGAAGGTTCTTTCATTTTTCTAGAGTTTATTTTTTTTCATTTTTTTTTCATTTTCTTGAAATTTTATATTGTATGGCTCATAAAAAATTGAATTATTATCCCCCTTTTTTTGAATATTTCGAAAATCGGATGATCTTCAAGATTATAGTGCAGTTTAATGTATGTGAGGATTTTCAAGAACATCATATTCCATAGAAAACATGTCGGATAATATTTTATGAGGTGAAGGAATATTTGAATTTTTTGTTGAAATATGTGTTCGATTTGTAGAAAAGTTCAAAAGTAACTTGCATGAAAGTTTAGCCGGAACATAATTTTTCAGATATTTGAATTTTTGAGAAGAACATTTTGGCCAGAAATTGTTTCCCAGGATTCTAGCCTGGGTCCGCAGTTTTTGAATATTTCGAGATTTCCGATTTCAAAATTCAAAACTTGAACTCAGAAAAACATTTATTTCCTCACGAAATAGTTCAAAATTTCTAGGCTAAAGTTCAGCGTGCTCGAATTTTTTAGAAATGTTTGAAAATGCATAATTCTGCTGAAATATGAATGTTCGTTTTCAGAGAAAGTGACTTTCAGCAAAAAAATGATGAAGTGACAAGTTCATCACGGAATAAGTTGATGAAGGATGCTTCGATGAAACTTGGGGATACTTAAACTGGAATTTCGAAATTTTAAGTATCAATCAAGATTTTCTGGAATAAAGAAATCTCAAACTCACAGGGCAAAAACTCTTCACGATCCATAAATGAAAATATTTTTAAAACTTTTGAATCTGAAGCTTCAATTGATTTTTAAAATAAAATTTGAAAATGCTGTTTCTTCAAAACCCGGAAAAAAACAGGAGCACATCTGGGGACTGAAAATGATGTCCTCGGTATGTTTGCACTATTTTTGAGACGATTATTTATTTTATTTTTGACAGTTCAATTTTGAATCAAAAATTCATATATTTTGTCGAATTCAATTTATTTTCTGAAAATTCCCAAATTTAGTCTATAACTTTTCTGAAAAGCCACAAATTCAATATTCTTCTTACTAACAGAAAAATCATTTATTTACCAAAATGTTATGATAGGGAAAAGATAAGCGCATGTTTTTGTCAATTTTGTTAGTAGTACAAAAAATCAGAAAAATTAGCCAAATCTCATCATCGCTCTCTTTCCGAATCTCATCATTGCACGTTTACCAAATCGCATCATAGCTCTTTTGTTTACTTGTGAGTTGTCCGATTTTTCATTCTCACTGGAATTTTTAGAATTTTTTTTGGTGGAATTCAAGATAGGGTAACTTACCTTAAAAAGTTCTCAACATTTTCATAAGCTGGATCTTCATATTCGACTATTGCATCTGGAAAAATATAGTATACAGTAGAGTTATCCCAACTCTTTTCAAAATACCTGGCGCAGAGTTTCTAACAAACGCTGTCGTCGAAAAACAGCACGACACCAACAATGTCACCAAAAACACCAGAACCATTTTGTAACCCATTTTTATAGTTGTTTCAGAATCTGCAAAAAAGGAAATTGCTGAAAAGAAAAAATGCTGCGACTGAAAATGAAGAAAAATTCCAAAAAAGAACATATTTCAAACGAAAATGTTAGCTTTTCTTCAAATTTCGACTCTTTGAAACTCATTGGAAATGAATGAGAAGATTTTTTTCTGTTGTTTTTTTTTTGCCTGCGCGGAAAAATTTCAATTCTGTGAGAAAAGTTCAAAATTTTTTGGGTGAAAAAACATCCAAGTAAAAATTCCCAAGGGTTCTATGAATTTGAAAAAACGCGGAACAAACATGAGTTATTTTTCTATAGAGAAAAAAAAACTGAAAATTGTGTGTGAAGAGATTTTTGGAATTTTTTTATAAAAGGTACTGTAATCAAAAAGGAATAATTTCGTGGAGTTTTCCAAAATGAACTGACAATTATTTCTAATCTCTGAATAATACTGGACTCTTAATAAGTTCAAAAATTAATCCGAACAAAAAGTTCATATTTTTTCAGACATTTTTGTGGATGCAAAGGTGGAATCTGACATAAAAATCGATTTTTTAGAAATCAGTTTCTGGTTTAAAAATGCTAATGGCAAAAATCGAAATTACTGTACATCTGAAGTTTCATGCCATTTTACACGGTGTTTCACTGTGTTTTTAAACTTTGAAATTTGAAACTAATGTTTGAGAAGCTTACAGGAAAAATCCTTACTAATTAGAACATGCTCTTTAAAATGAGCACAACTCATTTTTTGCTCAGATCTGATCGGGATCCAATTAAAACATCTTACAATTAGTTAAGGTTACTAACTTCTCCCATCAAGCTTAAAATTTTGGGAAAAATTTGATTTCCAGTTCACCTCTGGCTCAACTATAGTGGTCCAACCTCAAAAAAAAATCAAAAGATCTGTCACGAACACCTCCATCTATTGTCAATCAACAACAAAACAAAAGGTGAAGCGAAGAAGAAGAAGAAAAAAAACCACATTCATTCATTGGAAATGATTGTCCTTTTTTGTTTCCTCTTCGCGCCGTTCCTTTTCAGTCACAAAAAAATGAAATAGAATCCGCGCCAACAACAACCAAAAAAAAACAAGGTTGGTTGTGTGTGTGCCGTGATTTTTTGGCGACATGCATGCATTAAAAATGAACCATTCATTTTCAACGGCTCCTTCTTCCCACTCTACTTTTTTCCGCATCATGAATTCCCTGATTTTTGTCTGTGGAAACTAAATATTTGCAAGAGCAATTAGTCGAGTTTCGAGCTTCCTGGAGATTGTGTTTTGATGATGTGATTCGGAAAGTTTTGCAGGTTTCTTATCCTGTTTTCGAGCATTTTTCGGCGAAATACAGAATCCGCAGTGATTCTTGATTTCAACAAATAGAAAGCTCAAAAAACCAAACATCCTACAGTAATTTTGAAGTTAGGAAATCCTAGATGTTTGGGATTTGACTACTGTATCAGAAATAATTCTGAATTTATGGGCTTATATTTAGGAACCTTTTCAAATAGTGAAGCTACAGTAGTCGTATTTATCAAGTCTCGCAAATCTTAAACGTTGATCTCTACAGTAATTCCAACCTACAGTAATCGAAGCTCGAATTTTTCTAGAGCTCTCTAAGCAGGAAATCTTTGAGAGAACTATTACTACAGTAAACAGAAGATTATACTACAGTAAACAGAAGATTTTGAAAAGTTTATTTTCACAAACTACAGTATGCTTTAGTACCCACCCCACATTATTTTCAAAAAAAAAACCAAAAAATTTTGTCGAAAATGAAAATTTATGGGCACAGGAAGTGTGAATATGTAAAAATGGGAAAGGGAATAAGCTTGAAGGCTGAAGAAGGCAGTGGGGGCGGAGCCTATCTATTCATTTTTCGGTCCCGTGTTTCTTATGTTATTCATAGAGTTATGTTTCAGCCGTCAAAAAAAGAAAGATCACTTATTAATCACACATCAAACATTTTATCCTTTCTCGTCATTAATCTTTCGCGGCTTTTCATATACATACAAAATATATTTCGCGGTTTTTGCGAACATTTTATATTTAGAAAAGAAAAATGCACTTATGTTAGTTTTCTACAGAACGTCGTTACCTCATAAGAGAGATAAAAGGGAAATTAGGAAAATGCGTTCTTTGGGATTAGTCTGGAAATGAAAAAAAGGAAAAAATAAATTAGCGAGAGAAATTCATTTTTGGTCGTTTTTAGAACCTCTTGAAATATGGTATTCTTGGAACCAAAAGATAAACACTTGACGAGATTTCTTCTAGGTTGGTAATTGAATTTTTTTTAGAATTTCACACAATTATAAAATCCCGATTGCTATACGATTTTTTCTCATGAAATGACATATTTTTGTAGGGGAATTAATGAAAATTGGTGGGAGAAAGAAAGAAAAAATTTCATGAAATAATAAAAAAAAGAGGAATAAATCCGGAAACCATAGAAGAACAACCAAGGACCACCCACGGAGAAAACTGTAAAAAAAAGCTGGAGGAAGTTTTTGAAGATTCATTGAAATTTTTTGCCACCCACGAAGAGAGTGTTTGATTTGGAAAATTAAAAAAAAATATTTGAATCACTGGAATGATAACAAAACAAACTTTGAAAAAATTTAAATTATCAAAATCTATGTTAAAAATCAGACCACCCACAATGAAAATCTAACATTTGGACCACAAATCTTAAAAAGTACACTTTAAATCAAAAACTGATCAACTGGAAAAAATATTGAAGGCGAAAGACCACCCAGCAAAAAAAACTTTTTTCGAAGAAATGTCTAGACCACACTTTGCAGGAAATACAAACTTCAAGCAACATTTTTTTTGAGATTGAAAATTTTGAAAGTTCAAAAGATCGAAGGAAGAAACTATTGTGAATTCAAATGATAAAAAATATGAACCAGAATTCAAAAAACAATTCCACCATGACTTGAAATCAGATACAGGAAATCCAAATACTCCAGGACAACCTGGGTTTTTTTTCAAAATTAAAACACAGATAAAATTCCAATCAAGTTCTAGATTTTGAAAAATGGCCAAAGGCTTTGAGAAAAAAACCAATTTAAAATAATAAAAGTCACAAATTGAAACTGAAAATAACAAAAAAATAATAGTGGTTTTTATTTCATTTCAAATTGGATCTTCAAACATTTTTGAGCTTTGAAATGCATTTTGAATTTTTGAACTGAAAATTTGAACGATAATCTTCATAAAAGATCAAAAATGATTCGTAGAAAACTAGAAAAAAAGGAAGTTACCCGGAATCCTAAAAAAATGACTAGAAATTCGATATTTCTATTCAGACAGGAAATTTCTTTGGGTTTTTTCTTGGAATGTTTCCTGAAACTTGAACAAAAAAGTAATTTGAAACAATGAAAGTCACAAATGAAAAATGAAAAGTCGAAACTTCAATTTCAATTTGAAAATTGTTTCAATTCCATTTTATATAGCTAATTTCACCATTGACATCATAGGATTTAGATTAAAAGTTGACAAAACACCATCACTTCCTGAAATTTCTTTCAATTTTGCAAATCAAATCCGTTTATTTTTAGAAAGTGTAAATGTGAATGAATAAAAAAATAAAAAATATGTAGAGAAAAATATGATATTTCGGCATTATTTTTCAAAAAAAGCGTTTATTGAAACTTGACCAGATGATTTGAGTTGAACTTTAAAAAAAAGGAGGGAAGGCACAAAACATAGGTGATCCAGATCTTTAAATTTCAGAGTTCACCAACAAAAAATTCAATAAAGACATTTTGCCACGTCATAACTTGTTACAGGTACGTGTAGATCAGAAACAAAGTATTCCACGAAGATCAGAAGGTCGAAATTAGTCAAGAAGTTGTTTTTGAACACTTTTATCCAAGCACTTTCCGACAATAAAAAGTTATTCTTTTTTCCGAGATTTTTTTGATCTGTTAGTATTTTTTCAAGCCTAGAAGCCTTCCATATGATAGTGTGAATGCAAGTTTATTCAAAACTTTTTCGTGTGAAAAATTCACACATGTGCTAATTTTTCCACATACATCTCTCATGTGTTTTGATTTTTTTTTATATTTCAGAAAAACACCCACACTTTTTTTTCTAGTTTAATCTTTTTCTGCTATTTTCTATTTTTAACATTTTGTTTCATTTCAGATAAGATTATCTAGAAAATCTTTGATTTTTCCAAATCTTTAATTTTTTTAAACATAACAAGATCGATTTCACCACCCAATAAAAATAGTTTTTTTTTTGCATCTTCCTAATCTTATTAGGAAGATTAATATTGTAAAAGCATTTTTAATAGTTTGGATTTCCAAAAAAAAATTGCCGATCTATTTTTGAAAAAGCAAAACATTATATAATTTCTGGTCGGAAATTTGAAAATGTTTGGTCTTCGATTGCTCTGTGATAAATTTTGAAATTATTCAGAATATCTCCCAAGGAAGTAGGAAATTTTCTTTTCAAAAATCCTCATGAACCTGTAAAATTTTCGATAATTCTTTGAACCTCCTTTCTTAAAAGTCCTCTAATTTTGGCTTAGACCAACCAATGAACAATCCTGATCAAAAAATCATATTTTTCCTCCAAAAATTCACGTTTCTCCCTAATCCTTTTCATTTTTATTGATACTACACAATTTCCAAACAAAAACTTCCTCAATGTTTTTTTATTTGTTCAAAATTAGAATTGCTATTGACAACCGATCCTATTAGCCTAAACGACTTGGGACTTAAAATTTTTTGATAGATAAACAACACATTTATTTTCGGTTTTCTTTATTGTTTTTAATAATAACTTCTGAAATTTTTGGGCATTCAAAGTAAAGAACATGGCTTCTTTCACCTTTTTTTCGAAACAAAAAAAAAAACATCAATTTTAGATCGCCGAAATTGAAATCTGACCATAAAAACTTGCACAGCGTGCCAATATCTATAGGGAATGATATTTTTTATTTCTGAAATAAACATCTAGTTCAACTGTGAAATCACAATGCTCTCCTTTCTCGAATAAAACGCCAAAAACATGAATCATATATTAGTCATTCACTCCGCTTCTCTCGTCGCCCTAGTGGCGCAGTCGGTAGAGGCTAGGCCTCCCGATTAATCCAATTATTTCATCATAAAAGTTCGAACCCCTCGGGGAAAAGATCTTTTTGTTTTTTTTGCAAATTTGGATTCCTGACTAATTTCGACGTCCTGATCAACGTGGAATACTTTATTTTTGATCTAGACGCTCCTGTGACGAGTAATGACGTGGCGAATAACTATTTTAATTGAAAATTTGCTGAACTTATTATTAATATAAGCAAAACGTTTTTTTTACTTTCAGAATTGCCACGTGTTATTCCACACAGAAGTTCAAAGGTGAAAGTAAATTTATTTTGACCTACACGTTCCTGTGGCAAAATATGTCATTTTTCCCCCGAAGGTTCAAGTTGTCTGAAAAACAAAATTTAAAATTTATTGAATGTCGTATTTTATTTTTTCTTCATTTCATCCCGATTTTGCTCATTTTTCCTATAAAATAACATCAATCAAAACATTTTTCTTTTCTCAATTCGCAATTCTCAATTTTTCTTCTAGAAAGCAAAAAAAGAAGACAAAAAGCTTCAATATTCAACCATGAATATTCAACGCAACACTTCCATTGTTTCTCTTTTTCTCGTGTTTTTTCAGCCAAACACATACAAAAAAGTCCCATTATTTTGGACTTTTTGACACGACCGACGCATTTGAAATGAAATTCGAGTAACGCTCGGTTTTTTTTGCTTCTCGAGTTTTTTAACGACTAAAAGTAAAAGTAAAATAATAATCGAAGTTTGGTCGGTCGGATGATTCAGATATTTTTCACACGAATAAAATTGGCTCAATTTTTTTTCTCAGAAGTACAACATTCATGCACTTATGACTACTGTAGTTGGGATTGATCATTTCTATTCTATTTTTACTTTGAAGTATATATATTTCCCTCTGCCACTTTGCAAAATTAAAGAAAAAAATATTCTCTTTCAGTTTTCCAGAAAAAATTGATTTCCGGAAAAACGACCACCCAGGTTGTTATTTTTTTCATCCGCCATTTTCTTCCCTAGAGAAATTTTGTTCACATTTGGAGAAAAATGAGATGAACCTACGTCGTTTTTTTTTCCGTCGGAAGAAATGTGAAACTTCAACATGTCTATGGAACTTCTCAGTTTTTGAGATGTCAAGTTTCATTTTACTGACGTTTTTGTTTTATAGAAGTTACAGTACTGTGACTCATGTATGGAAATTTGAAGCGATATGGAATTCTAGACACATTTTTTGAAGTTGTGAGTTACTGAAGTCTCTTGATTCTTTTCCAATTCTAGAAAAGAGTACTGTAGATTTTGTGCCACTATAAGTATGATTTTCAAGAAGGTTTTGAAATGAAAAAATTTAGAATTGAACGAGAACATTTCAAATTACTGTAGTTCCTGAGAGTATTATCATGTTTGATCAAAATGAGCTGGAATCCTTATGAAGTTTTGTGTCAAAATAAAAGTCCATCTTGTTGACTGACATTTCGAAAATGTTTCAAAATCCTCCTCCAAACGTCATTCTGTTTTTTTTTCTCAAAAAAAATCATCACGTTTTCCCCTTTCATATTAAATCCGAATAACGTCAAAAAAGGGTGTGTTTGGTGAAACAAACAAACAAAAAATCAAGCAAAACATTTTCAGCCGTCAAAAAGATTAGAAATGCATCCTCTTTTCTTTTTTCCTTTCATCTTCATCATCTCTTCTTCTACACATCATACTTTTTTTTTCACAAATTTTTTATTCATAAATCTTATTCATTTATCTATTCTGCTCTTTTTCTCCTTCTTCTTCTTCTTCTTTTCATTTTCCAGTATTTTTTTATTTTTATTATTATTATTCTGTGAAAAAAAATGACTGAATCTTGGCTGAATAGAAAAAAGCTTCTTCGTCTTCTCCCGATAATTTCTGTCACTCTTCTGAAAAGGCATGTGAAGAATGTATATATATTTTTTCTCAACATAGCTCAACTCAACTTGAGAGTTGAGAACAAAAAAACAGACACTAAATAATTGCAGTCACTAGAAAAAAGTTTTTTTATTTGGTCTTCTCTTTTTTTTTTTGTGTTGAATTTTTTGTTGTTGAAAAATCGGAAGAATTTCAGATGGATGAAGTGGAGAAAATGGAATCTCCAAAACAACCGCGAAGTTCGTCGGGTCTCACAGCGGGAATTATGAAAACAACAATGAGTTTGAAGCGAAGTTTCAGATTCAAAAAGGTGAGTCTCTCTCGTTGCCCTGTTCCAAAAATTTTACTGCAAAAATCCTGATAATCTTCTCTGATTATTTTTCAGCAAACAAATTTTTTTGTCAGGCTTCACATTTTTAATTCTATATATTGCTGGCAATTTTTGAAAAAGTCCACAAAAACACATCATTTTCTGCGAAAATCTGTGTGTTTTGCGCGGATTTCTTTTCGAGAAATCGAATTTTCTTTATAGCATACTTTTTTATTCACATCATCTACGTAGAATCTGAATTTCAGGATTACTGTAGGGTTTGGGGGAGGATTCTTGAGCTGTGTTTTGCTCATTATTATAAAATTAGAATTTATGTTTATGTATATGTAGATTTTTCTATTTTTATATTCCCCTGGAATTTTTTTTTTGAAATAAAATAACAATTTTAGAATACAGTGACCTGTTTTTTTTTCAGAACTACAGTGTTTACAATTTTCGTATCTATTTTGCTTGAAAAAAAACTACGGTTGATTCAAATAATGTGCTAAGCTACAGTCTAGGCAAAAATTATATGAATTATTTTGGCATCAATTAAAAAGCTGAAGATCAAATGATCAAACTACATTTTTGGTTTTATGTTTTTTTTGCATAAATGAGTGGAGATCAAAAAATCAAATATTAAAATTTTGGCTTTTTCCAAATCTATAGATCAAAAATTGAAAAGGAAATTGGAATATTTCAACACGTTACAGTAACCCGATATGTTTTTATGAATATTTCATTTGATTTTTTTAATCTAGCCACCCACTTCTGACCACGTGAACAAAACAAAACTCGCAAAACGAATTTAAAGGGTTTTGTCATTTTTCTCAACAACACAAAAAAAGTGAATTGAATTTTCCACGTCCCATCTACTTTTTTTTCTTTTTTTCTTCAATGAAGAAAAAAGCTCATCAGTTTAACGTATGAGTGAGTGACAAGAAAAGGAGAAGAAGAAGGAATTTCGGGAAAAAAAAAGAAAATTAGAAAGAAAAAACAGTGAGTTTTATTGTTTTTTTTTCTTTGCTTGGATAGAAGAAGAAGACAAAAAAAAGTTGGCTCTTTTTTTGAGCAGCTATTTAAATTTTTCTCATTTGAATTGGACTGGACTCTTTTTTCTTTTTCTCAGAATTATTTGAGAATGAGAAAATTGCGCTTGGTGTTTTTTTTTCTGCAAAATGTACTGTAGTTTGAGGGTTTTTCGTTTTGGGTCTCATATCAAAAAATGTTTGATGATTTATATTTTTTTGGAAATTTATTGCTGGCTGGATTAGTATGTACATATAAAATAAATTGGAGCGCAGAGAAAATTATTTTTGCATGAAAAACCTAGAATTGTTTTTCCTGAAAATTGACGAAAATAAAGTTTCAAAATTTTTTGAATTATTCATTTTCAAGTAGAACTCAAATCGTTTCTAAAATTCAATTTCGATCTTGAGTTGCGAGGTGCACAATTTCAGAACATCCAAAAATTCTTTGTGTGTTCGCAAACTGAATTTCACAATATTTTACTTCTGATTCGTTTTCAGCGCGGTTTTTCACAATGTTTCATCAAAAATTAGATTACCGACCTTTTTACTTCCCTTGTGAGCTAAATTGAAAAAAGTTCCAAAAATTATCGGTAATTTTTTTTTGAAAAATAATTTCATTATCTAATTTCGCTGCCAAAACTTTTTCTCGAAAAAATCAATTATTCATTTTTGTTTCATAACCAAATAATTTTTATTAGAAAAAAATTCTTGCCCCTAATTGCTCCTCAAAAATCTCCCCATTCTACCTTGCTCATTTCATTCATTCATATTTATTCAATAAAAAAGAAAAATACTTTGATTCAAAATTGACCAATTTTAACGACCCATAATAAAAAAAACAAGAAAAACTCGGGGTTTGTAATAAACCCCACCATTTACCTTTTTATTCTGCTCTGCCCATTCTTTGTATGAGCATTCAAACAGTTGTCATAAAAAAAAAAAAACGAAGGATTGAGCCAGAAAAATTGATAACTTATCATATTACGGAGCACGCTAGAAAACATTATTTAATTTTTTTATTTCATATTAAATTTTTATCATGCTACCAAGTATGTGTATAGTGTTTTGAACTTTTTTTTTAAATTTTTTTTTCTCACATTCAGAGCAACATCATCACAGATTATCCACATAAGATCTGTTATTTATCGCAAACGATGAGTTCAATTTTAATGTCCCTGGGGAACACTTTTTTTTGGGCAACAATCATCGCCTCCTCCTCCGCAACAACAACAAAAAATAGGCAGAAAAAAAAATGTTTTCTTCATTTTTTTTTGTTCTGAATTTTTTATTTCGGCGAGCGAGAAAATCTAATTTTCTCAAGTGTCAATTCAATCTCTGACGTTGAGCGAAATGAGAGGCGAAAAGAGCTCATAACAAAAAAAAGTTTATTATTCCGCCGTAATTTTTTCCTTGTTTTTTTTTGCTGAAAGGGACTGAGTTTCAGTTAGTCAGCAGAAATCTGCTCATAGTTTGCACTGACAAGGAAATAAGTGAGAGAAAAAAAATAAATCACATTTCAAAAGTGAAAACATCAAAGATTTATTTTTGACTTGGCACCAATTTAATTTCCTTTGGAACTTTTTTTAAAGAAAAATCATTTGAGCTTTGAACATTTGATTTGAATTGTTAATTTTTTGACGTCATGGAGTTATTTTTGCCACGTGGATTTTCAATTCCTCATTTCCAGTTGCTCATGTTAGATTTATAAAAATATAAAGCATGTTCCTTTAACTAACAAAAATCAAATAATAGGATTTAATGATGTGATTCAGAAAAAAAGTGCAGACATATTTTTTTTCTGGTTTCTTGAGCCTTGAGCTTAATGTTTGATAAACTAAACTAATCATCGTTTCAAAAATTAAAATTTCTAACCAAAATTTCAAAAAGTTTCTAAAACAACTCCCGTGTTGATCCGTTGTACAAACAACACAATTTCCAAGTTTTCTCACTTTTTTTTTAATTCTCAAAATTGTTTTTTGCAAAAAAAATTGAATTTTTTACAGTCTGATGACAATAGAATGAGTTTCGAACATCGTTCAGTGGTCCGACTCTTCAGCAACAGTTCAACCAACTCGAATGGCTCTAGAAAAACATCGGTTCCATCGGCAGTGATTGCATCGGCGCCTTTGATGTCTGCAGCGGTTGGAGATGGACTTGGAGCGCAGCTTTGTGAGTTTTTGCAGGAGGGAGGGGAATTTTATTGATCGGGAAAAGTTTATTGAGCTCTAATATTTGAAAAAAATTAAAAGTAAATTGAAGTTTTATAGAGCTCTAAAAAGCCCCATGTTCCAGAAAATATTTGCAACTGAATTCATCAAAATTATTTTTACAAAAAGTGCATCCATGTTGAGAAAAAACTTCCAAAGAAAGAGCACGAAAGAAAAATTGAGTTTAGTTTGGCGAAAAATCGAATGTCTCCTTTTTTGCTCCCCCCATCTTCCTATAATTATTGCACTTTTTTGTTTCTTTATCTTTTCTTTTCTCCTGTTTTCGAGCTCAATTTAGTCACTTTTTTTTCTTTTTTTCACTCACTCAGTCAGTCAGTCAGCATATCCTCTTTGAATGAATCAAGAGACAATCTAAATAGCCTCCTTAATTTTTTCCGTTTCTGTTTTCTTTCTTCTTCTCCTTTCTTCTTGTCTCAGCTCACATTTAGAATTGTAAATTTTTGCCTCGTCTTTCTTAAGGATTCTTATAAGATTTCCTTTTCTCTTCAGCCTTTTTCACGGTGAAAAAAAATACAATTTTTTGCCGTCTGATTTGATTTTTGCGAGAGGATTGTTAGACGAAATTCAATTTTTGTTCTCACTTTTTGAATGTGAAGTGTGGATTTGAGAAAACTTGAATTTGATTTTTTGAGAAGCTTCTAAATTTTGTCTGAATTCATTTTAGAGATTACTGTAAAATTGATAGAGTCTAAAGATTTGAATTTTCTTCCTACACCCTCTTACATTTCGTTTTATAGGCACATTACAGTACTAGAAATTTTTTATGTTCAAATTAAAGTTGAATTTCAAATTTCAGAATTCAAATTTTCAAAGAAATGACTCCTTGACATTCACAACCTCAAGGCATCGCTCCTTGACAGATAAACTTTCAAGGCGTCGCTCCTTGACAGATAAACTCTCAAGGCGTCGCTCCTTGACAGATAAACGTTCAAGGCGTCGCTTCTTGACAGATAAACTTTCAAGGCGTCGCTCCTTTACAGAGTGTTAGGAAATATGTAGTTCCTTGACACCCGCGCCCCCCCCCCCCCTTTTAAATGAATTTCAAAAACCTCTCTGAAAAAAAAAATCCCAATTCTGTTCCCATCAAAATACCAACATTTCTAATTCAGATTTTCCAAGAAATTCATAATAATCCAGACTTCCTTCCGTTTTCATCCATGTTTCCATGCAGATTCGAATATTTATGTATTTGTCAGTCATGTCAAAAAAAAACTTCTTCTTCTTCTTCTCCGTTTTTTTTTCATATTAATTCATGCAGAAAATTCGCTTTTGTTCTTGTGAAGCCAGATTTCTACAAAGATAGGAGGATTTTATTTTTTTTTGGAGAACACAAAAAATTATTGTTTTTACTTTGATTTCTGATCAATTATCTAGAAAAACCTGTTTTTACTGTTGTGTTGTATCTTTGAAAAATAGAAAAAAAATGCAGAAAAAATATGACGAGAAAAAAAACAATGAATATATAAAATAATCGAAATTGGTTGTCAGACTTATATTTGTCTGACACAAAAAATCTATGTTTTTGAGCTATTATGAAAAGCAAGCTGTCTAGAAAAAAAAGTTATAGTATTTCCTTCCCTCCTCGATTCCATGAAAAAAAACAACAAAAATAAAAATAATAAATATGTATATACATCTTATAATTGTTTTTTTTGTGTGTCATTCATTTTGTTAGTCACATTTCATTTCAATATATTATTTCTCGCCGCCTGCCTTATATTTCAACAATTTTTTTTTTTTGAAAAGTTGTTTTTTTTTCGTGGAGGAGGGGACCAAAATGAGAAATTTCCACGGCAAAACAGACCTTCTCAAATTTCGAATCATGTTTCTTTCTTTTCACACATTCTGCGTTCTTTTTTAAATTTTCTTTCAACAAAAATTTAATTTTTTTTTCAATTTTTGCTCTCTGACTGATCTTTTCTTCTTTCACGCCGCCGAAAATTCTCAAATTTCATAAAGTTTTTCGGTCGGTTCTCAAAAAATGTCATTTACATTCATTTTTTGCTCAATTTTTCTGATATCATTTGAAAAATTTTTTATATTTGATTTTTGGAAAGATAGCTCGAAATGAGCTCAAATCTTGGAGTACTGTAGAAGTTTTTCATCAAAAAGATAGATGGCTCAAAAAAAAGCTCAAATTTCTTTTTTTCTTTGAAAACTCGAAGAGGAAAGTTAGGGTACCTTAGGGTTACTGTAGTTCAAACAAATCTGCAAATTTAGCCTAGCCAAGATCCCTATAAGTTTAGCTACATTTTAATTATAATTTTGAATATGCAAATTTTAAAGTTCAATTTGGGAACAATTTCATGACGTAGAAATAAAAGTTTGATAGTTTGTGCTCCCAGTAATTTTCTCAAGGCATTACGCATGTTTTTTCACAAAATACAATTATCATTCAAAAAAACCCAAATGTCACTTTTCCTATAAAATTGAAAAAAAAAACTTTGAGCCCAAAATTTTATTTCCTCGACATTTGTGTTTTAAAAAATTTGTCATCTATCAAACCCAAAAAATTGTCATCAAAACCTTTTTTGCATCAATCAACAATCATGTAGAAACCCATATAGATAACAATGTTTTATATACACACATACATAATTCTAGAGTACACAAAGCCATACGAAGAAATGTGCTATACAACACAAGACATCAAAAAAAAAAGAAATCATGCTCTTTTTCATGGTTTATGTCTTTTTTTGAAACAACCCAAAACAATTATTGATTTTAGATCAAAAAATCTTCTTCTTCTTCTTCTTTTTTCACACACATACAAAACACACACACAAAAAAAAGTTCACACATTTTTTGAAATATGATAAAGTTATTATCATTCGACGCTTTTTGTCACTTTTTTTTTTGCTTTTTGCAATACATGTACAATACAATTTTAATTTTGAGAAAAAAAAAACTTTTATTTCAAAAGTATCTGATTCTCAGCGTGAAAAAACTATACAGAAACATATATGTCTCATTGAAAATCAAGATATTTTTAATCTTAGGGTCCCGAGTTCAATCCCCGGTGCCCGCTTTCTTTGTAAATGTTTTTTCTTCGTTTTTATTTTGCAATACAACTTCAACTTCAATTTCAATCTCATTTTCTATTTTTAGAAATGTCTGTGAGTACCCAAAAATCGACACATTCTGAAGACGATGGAGGTTAGTTTGCAGATGTTTTTTTTTCTTCTTCTTCTGAAAAAAGCACATTATTTTGCTCTGGAAAAATAATGAAAATCTGAAGTCTGAAACATAGAAAAAATGGAAAAATTTTGTTTTTCTTTGAGACAAAGGATTATCTTTGTTTTTGGGTCTTTTTGGTTTCGTTTTCTGCGGAAAATGAATTTTTTTTGAAAAAAAAACATATTTTTTTTGTTTCAAAGTTAGAGTAAAATATATTAAATTACATGATTTTATTGTGAATTCCTTTTTTTGTATCAAATTTCATTATTCATATTTTCTGTTTTCTGACCTAAATAGCTTTAGACGCTAAAAGAGCCTAGGGCGAAAAAAAGAAATTGAGAAAATAGGAAAAAATGAGATTGATTTGACGTTTTCAACAAGGGAAATGCAATTTTTCTTGGATTTTTTATTTATTTTTATTTATTTTACCACACCGAGCTTTTCAGAAGAAAAAATTCTTTACACTTTGTGTAAAAATATCTCATATTTTTTGACATAAGACTGACTTTGTAGTTTTTTTTGCCGCAAAACTTGAGGCGAAATGTATTTTCTTCTCAATTTTATAAATAATTTATTCCTTGAAATTTTGATTTTGACACGGAGGTGTATTACTTTTCGAATTGATTTCTGCTTTTTTTGAGATTTTGTTAGTGGAGACAGGTGTTTTGGAGGTGAAGTGATGCAAAATGTTTGAGATGTGAGATTTTTTGGTTTTCATTTTCAGATTTCAGCATATTTTGGCTCCAGAATGTTATGAAAACCAGCTATACATTTCCAAATGTTCACTGTTTAAAAATGAATTGAAATTTTTTTGAATCGTAAAAATAGTCTTTTGGCCCAAGTTTTTTTTCAATTCGAAAATTCTTTAAATTTTTTCCAGAAGATCAAAAACCAAAAATCTCACATTCAAACCCAATTTTTCACCATATTCATATTCAAAATTTCGTTTTCAATCTTCACTAATCAAAATCCTCATAAATTCTTCAACCAATTCCAACCTTTCTCATTTTTTTCGCGATTTTCGATTTCCAAAAAAACAAAAAAAAAGGTGAAGCAAATTCTTCATTCTTTCATTCAAAATCGAATCTTCTTCAGCGTTTTCCTTATTTATTTTTGTTCAGGACTCTTATCCAAAACCTTTTTTCTGCTTCTTCTTACTTTCTAGTAGTGTCATGATTTGATTTTCTTCAAGCTCACAAGATTTCTTTTCAATTCTCCATTTTTTTTTTGAGAGAGTGCTTTCATGTTTTTTTGCCGAACAAAATCCAGATAATCTAAGCGCCCTGAAAATAAAAAAAATCCTTGATAATCTCAAATACAAAAACATCTCAAATTTCGTCCTTTTCTCAAGAACATGCCAATATCTACATGTATAAATTACAAATGAGATACATGAGAATTGCCGCCAATAAACCAACTTTTCTCATGTTTTTTTCAAAACGCAGAAAAGATTGTGAGTTTTTTAATTGGCACATACAGCAATTTGATACTCTTTTCTTTTTTTCTCCATCTTCCTACTACTACTTTTTTGTGCTCCATCTTTTTCTTCTTCGCTCATAATAAATCCTCCCCTCCCCCTTTCCTGCTTATTCTTATTATTTATTATTATTATTATTATTTCTGTGAACGCGAAGATTAACAAAAAAAAATCTAAACTACTATTCTCCTTTTGATCTTACTCTGATCTACCATATCTATCTTGAAAATGAGTCTACGTCCAGGAAAAAAATCGTCGTCGACTTCAAATTTTCTCAAGTCTCATAAGATCTCTCTAACTTCTCATATCTTACGGTTAGTTTAGTTTTCGTGATTCTGGAGAGTTTTTGGAACAATTCAAGGCTTCTGGTGATCTGCAAATCTCTTGAATCCTTATGTGGGCTAGGCTTGAGCTGAAATAAGTTGTCACATGCATTTTTTTGCAATTATGACACAATTTATTTATTTTATGGAAATGAAAATGCAAATGAAAATGAGGAGTCGGGGATTCAGAAGAGCTCATTGGGAGCACACTAATCTAGATTTCAGCTCTAGATATTAATTGTTAGCTGGAAATTCTGAAAAATTAGAAGCCTTGCAACAAAATTCAGAATTTACAGTACCTACAGTAATTCATAATGCTTTACAATTAGCTCACAGATCAAATTTCAGAGAATTGTATCCAATTTTCTAGTTTTTTTTTCTGAAAATACCTCTCCAATCAAAAAAAGCCTGGAATTGTTCCAAAAATCTCCATCTCTTTCCCCTCTCTCTCTCTCTCTTTGAATTTAACCTAACTTTCCAAATCTAAGAAAAACCAAAAACCGTCAAAAAATGGATAGTGCCGAACGTCGTAGATCCGAAGCCGATATCGATGGTCCCAGAAACAGCAGTGATACTAGACCAAGTTTGGATCTCACATCAGATCCAATGCTTGAATCCAACATAGCACTTCGAAAATTATCCGAAGCTTTTGGTAAGTATTTTTAGATGTTTTTTTTTTCAATCTCCGTTTGCACTTTTTGTTTTTCCCCTCATATTTTTGCAAATCTTTGATATTTATCTTTATTTTGATAGATAGACGGTTAAAATATGGCAAACCCACAATTTGGCGAATAAAAAATGAGAATTCAAAATGAATTGGATTAGTCATGAGAAAAAGAAAAAGTTCAATGAGAATGAATTTTTTATGACGTTGACAGACTTTTTTCGTTTCGTTTCTTTTTTTTTGGAGTTGAGCAATGTTTTGATGAGATGATGTGCTCGTCATTTGAACAATTTGTTGGAATAGCGCTTTTCGTTAAATGAGTTGGGTTGGAAATTTTCAGAGAATTGGACATGTCAGACAGAGTTTTTGTTTGAAATATAAATTTTCTTTTGAAAAAAGCACTAGGTGGTTCAAAGCGGTTTTTTGAAACTCAAAAAATTTACCGCCAAAAGTTGAGCTCTAGAAATGATGCACCAGAAAACTTGTGCTCTTTGATTTTTGGGACCAACTTTATTTTCTGCTTGATAAAATTCTACGCCAAGCATGAAATTGTCTTTTTGTCTTCCAAATCTATGCGATGGAAGGAATTTGGAGCAAGACTCAGGGAATCTAACATCTATTTGGTGTTGTTGAGGAGTCGATTGGCACCACCCAAACCCGTGAACCGTCATCCGCTCAGTGAAATTATTGTTCCAGTGGGTAGTCTTGAGCGAACTATTTGAAAATCGCGTTTTTGAGAGGCCATAACTCATGTTAGAAAAGATTTCATCCAAAAACTGAAATCAGGGCGATGTTCAGCAGAGTCGATTTAAAAGTTTTGACAAAATTTTCAATTTTCTGAGCCACAAAATTTTTTTTCTGAAAAAGTATGGATTTACTAACCAAAAATTTGTGACTTTAGTAAATCGATCCTCCTGAAGATATGAGTTATTTGCTGTCAAAACCGCGAAATTTTAAAAATTCCTCACTTTTGGCTCATTTTGGGCTCTTCGGAGAGTCTCTCAGCAAAAACTGAAAGCAGCATATTTCTTATCGTGAAAAACTGTACATAAACATCTATAGATCTTCATCAAAATAAAAAATTCAAAACATGTTTCATATATTTATGTACATATAATCCGTAATCCACTTCCTCTATTCCACTTTTATTATATTATTCCAAACCCTCATTTATCCCAACTAACTTTATTTGCTGAAAACTTGCATTTTTTCTGAAAAGTGGGCGTGACGGGACCGTTCAAATTGGATAGAGAAGCGTCTAAAAGAAGAAAGAGAAAAAGAGTGTCTTTTTTATTTGAAAAAGCGTAGATGGCTTTTCATTTTGTGTCATCATTTGACTAAACAAAATGGATACTTCTCCAACGTTTTCGCCTTCTCAATCTTCTTCAACATCAGCAGCGCTTATAAGTCCGATTCGTGGTGGATCTAGAAGAAATCCGAACCCGAATCAGGACCGGCAACTATTACGGATCAGAAAATCGATTTCTAATCCGTCTAGTTTGAAGAGGGAAAGCGAGCGGTCTAGTAGTTTTATTAATTTGTCAAAGTTGGATTTCTATCATAATTTATCTATTAGACCTATTCTGAAAAGACTTCAAGAACAGGGTGAGTATTAGGAAAGAATTTAGAGGGAAGTGGAGGATTTTCTAGCAGTGCTTTGGCCCAAAATTTTCAGAAACATCTAGAATCGGACCTCTCACAATCAGATAAGGGCTGGTCGAAATCAGAATATGTGAAGTCCGAAATTCTGAACTCATGTTCTAGAATTTTCTAGAACATGAGTTCAGTTTTTCTCAAAAGAAAATTCCCCGAATTTTTTCCGCGAAAAAAATTCCCGACCATCGAAAAAATTCACCGAACACAAAAATAATCTGCCCCCCTAACTTTTTCTTTGTTCCCGATTCCCCCCGAAAAACGAATCAATCGATAAATTATGCTATCATTCTTTGTGTCACAAAAAACATTTTTAATAAGAAAATACATACATAAAAGTACCTTCTTCTCCACTGGCGAAAATAATTGCATTTTTGTCTGTGTTTTCTTCTATCTATGATATTTTTTCTCAATATTTGTTTTTCATCATCATCCTCTGAAAAATGTGAGTTTTTCATTAAAGTTAATGAATTTTCTGGCTTTTCTGCAAATTCTATTCTAGAAATCCAATTCGAATTACGGTAGTTTTTTGCTCCGAGAAAAAAATAATCAACAAAAAAAGGGGGAAATGAGAAAAAACATAAGAGGGACCACTTATGTTTTTATTTTGAAAAAAAAAAGTTTATTTGAAATATTTTTGGGTGGCAT